ACGAACACCTATCTCGTGGGCGTAAAAAGTCTGCTGACCTTGAACTTTACCGCGGCGTACAAAGTCTGCCCGTGCGAACGCACGCTTATACGAATATAAACACTTCTTTGATTGTATCGATTTTACGGCTACCTCCGGCCGTGATGCTACCAGCTACAAATAATTGAACAACGTTTTGTACAAAGATATAATTATCAAAATAGTACTGTTTAGTGTATTGTGCATTTCATAATATGAAAAGTATTCTATGAAATCCTAAATTTAATTCGCAAGATCAAGAAAAAGAACGAGGCATTTGTACAAAATACATATTATCCTTCTAGTTCTTTTTGATGAAACCGAGACAATATTAAGTTTTATCCAGTTGTTTCGGCAGTGGAAACCTACGGTTAGGAATAAATAACGCAGCTGCGACAACATAGTTGTATTGATAACGATTAAAGTCCTAAAAATCGTATTACGTCGTTAACCTTATCTGTCGGTCGTTTAACGAATTATTTCGCGATAAGTAATCGATCAACGGACTGCAAAAAAAACGCTTTTTTCTAAAACAATATATCTATAAATTATCGAAATAAAGGCACTTGAATCTTCTAAAACATACATTTTACTGCTGAGCGTTTAGACATTTAAACGTAAATATAATTCACATTTATTTTCTCTATAGTTAAATGTAGCAAGTTTCATGAAAAATTATGCATGTAAACTTTATATTTTTCTGGTTGACGGAATTTTTTACTCGTATGCATGAAAATTTTGTGCAACTTTGTATTTTTGCGTTATACGCAAGAAAAAACGTTATTTACCTTGTAATACAATTTATAGAACTTTTTGCTCACAGAAGGGGAATTTATTTTGCTTATAATCGCTTCCGCGTGGGTGTGGTGTTTGATGTAACGATAATTCTACCTTATATCATAACTTTATCAATTTCGTTACGAAACATTTTGTTATTTTTCCGGCTATATGCAACCTTCAAGACTACATCGGCTTTTTCGCACATTAGTGATATTATCAATTCTAGTTGCGTAATTTATCAATCTATTTTAAAAAGAATGTGAGTAATCCTACTACACAGAGTTATTCATCATCTAAAGTCTGAGACTCAAGAAGTCGTTCTACTTAATTCAAATAAAGTAGGTATTAATAAACCTTAAAAGTATCTTACCATTGTGTAAATAGTTTTTGTGTATTGTCCATCAGATATTTGCAAATAATTCATTTTTATTTATCAGCGTATTCAACTTTTTCCACTTATAGTTTGTTGTCCTCTGAAGTAACCATAGAAACGGTTAGTCAACACTTACACAATGAAGGTTTAATGATAGGTTAAGGCATGGTGTTTTTTTTCAAACGAATCCCACCCCTTTATCCATGGTTCGGTGCATTGTCGAATTTCATTTTTTTTGTAGACATATTAGAAGCCACTTATAGTCTGAAATGTTGCCTACTGTGCTACAATATTCTCAAAGTATGACTAAAATAATGTTTTCTTGTTTCAGTGAAGATCAACTTAGAAGATGGTAGTATTCTTTTGATGAATCCCCCAACAAATGAAGTCTGGTACCACAGCTTGCCTATAAGGAAGAAACTGCCTGGTGCAAGAATTAATCTTACTTTTAGAAAAATGCGCGGAAAATTGTAACAGCTTTAGTAAATTATTATTATGTTAAAGAATTTACTTGTTTTATTTGCTAGTAAGTGATATTTATGGAAAACATAATCTTCATGATTAAACTCTATTTTCTACCTACTACATTGGGAGATTTTTTGAAAATGGTAACACCATAGTAACTATGACATTTTATTTTGACAGAATAAATGTCAAAATAAAACAATTGGATTTTTATCGGTGTTGACTCACTTGCGTATTTCTTATAATTTTTCTCATTATATCGCCGATAGATGCTGAAGAAAAATAATAAATTATCTTATGACTTTGGTATATTGTTGCGGATTCAAATAAATTTTCCTATAAGGTAAGCGGTCATATTATATTCCGCTGCACCAACGAAGTCATTTCTATGCTCAATATATTATCACAGATTGTTGAGTACATAAGTATGATAAGCCTAGCCTATATAACGGATAGCGGCGTTGAACGACCGCCGTTATTAGCGCATTAGGAAGTTCTACGATCTACATTTACTGGATTGCAGTAGACATATAAAAAATTGTATAACATACATTTTAATACACTAAATGTAACATATAGTTTATTTATATATCGTAGTATATCCTATGAAGGCTTTTAAATAAGTTTTATTAACATTTATTGTTATAAAAATGTGGTATGGTCCAAATTTACAAAGATCATACAAGTATATGATATTTGCTTCAAAGATGCCGTCTCTGAGGATCGACCAGAGTGATCTGAAATGTAAGAATGGGTGTGATTACTATGGCAACCCGCAGTGGCAAGGATATTGTTCCAAATGCCACAGGGAACAGTTACAGCGACAGAGAAGGGCTGGTATGTATATGTGATTTTGAATTAAACATTTCTAATAATTGAACATAGATTCAATCAATATATATTCTTATTTAATTCTGTGCAGATGAAGTTAAGGGCAAAAGTTAGCAAACTATAACTGAGGCCAACCTTTAAAATTATTAAATCCCTTTAGCTATATACATTTTCCATCAGCCTAGATATTGGCTATGGTACTTTTAGTAAGAACTTTTTAGTAATGAAAGATTTTTTTACATTTGTTTACTAGTTTTTTTAGTATTTCATAACTATTCAATTTTATATTTATATATAGTTTTCTTAGTAACAGTGTATTTAATTTGTTTTATTGGAAATAAAAATGACCTAAGGTCTGGATTTTTGGATCTTTTAAGTTTAAAAGCTATGCAAAGTTTTTTTTGTACTTTGTAATAGAGTGTACTTCACCTTCACCATTCAATTGTTATCTCCCCCTTTGGTTATATCGCAATATATGATTTTGACATAATTGTAGATAACTACTGACATTCTCAAGGTTCAGTTAATATAATATTGCCTTAGTCAACTAAATAAGATTATGTCTGATAAATTGAATTTAAATTGTTCATTTAGTATCAAGGTTTGAATACATTGTATGCTACTTATATGATAAAAAAATCTTGTTAGGATGCCTGGCCCAACACTGGCTGATAGAGGTTCAGATGATAAAAATGATGTAACTGTCAGATAAGAGAACAAAATCTTATATTTCCATCACCTATTTTACAAGTTGTATTGTTGGTACCATTTTCTTCCTCCTGAATTTGCTTTCAACGTTTTCTATAAGAAAAAAAATTCTAGCTGAATGAAGAATGAACAAGCATATTTTTTCTCGTAATAGAAAAGGCGTTAGCGGCGTCCGCGTCAGCCACATTGCCGCGACAGGAGCAGAAGAAGCCGGAGCGCGGACTCAAGCTATCGTCTCACTCCTCCTTCTCCAAATTCGAGGAGAAACGCCTGCGTCAAAGCGAGACTCTCAAGAAGGCTAATTTACTTAAATTTAGCGTCTTCAAGAAAAGTAGCGCAGGTATTTTTATCTACAAAAATCTTATAGTATGCATTAAAAGATTTGTATTACTTATCTTAGAAACAATGTAATTATTTGTGATAACTTGAAATACATCTTGTGTTCCATCGTATGGTCAAATTGACCATACATGTTAATATTGAGATTACAAATTTTTAGTTTAAATATTTTGATGGTATTTTCATTAAGATGAGCAAGAGCAATCAGGGAGAAGACCGCAAGAGTTTAAGATCCCGTCGATGGTGTACGAAGGTATGAAGCGTGATTTCCGCACGCACTTCCCGCAGCTGCCGGCGCAGGCGGACCGCGACACGCGCGTCTTCGCGCACTCCTTCATCATGGACGTTATCAAGTGCTCCAATGTTATGTCGGTCGATGAACTGTCAGAAAGGGTGCAGAGACAGTATCAGGTATCTCATACTTTATTAATGGCTGTTTATATAATTATTTGCACCAGCTCACTATATGTCTCCACTGAGGGGCTCGGAACCTACCGTAATAAGGGGTGACTAGGCCATAGTCAGCCACGCTGGCCTATTGTGAGTAGGTTGATTTCACACATAACTTTGAATTTCTTTGCTAATCACCCTAACTTAGGGTAGGCTCCGAGACCCTCAGTGGGGACGTATAGTGAGCTGGTGATGATGATGATATTAATTAGCTCTGATACAATTATCAGAGGTTCATCCGGCACATGGACACGTCGCAGCACTTCGCCGGCCTCGAGCAGGACATCAAGGAGCAGCTCATTGACTTTGTGGAGAAGCATGTCATGACATATTTACATGAGTAAGTATATACTGTTTGTACTACTAAGTGGATATATGTAAAAATCAACACCAAAATAAAAAAAATGAGTGTTTTTTACGGCGTCCATTAATATCGCGGAAACCCAAGGTCATCTGCCAATAATGCCATCCAGCGCATCTCTAAACACTTCTTTTTTCGCGGCATATTCGTAAATATTAATTTTGATTTTGACTGCTACTCTACTATTTATAAAAATAGTAGTCGGTGTTCGAGATTACATTCTACATGAATGCGAAACTTCATCGTGATCTTAAAAGTCGTACTGAGATTAGGAGTATCGAGTGTTGAGTGTTGAGTGTTGAGTGTTGAGTGTTGTGTGTTGAGTGTTGTAACGCGGTGTGCAGACTGCCGGGCGTGGTGTTCTCGCCGGCGGGCACGGAGGACGAGCGGCTGGACCGCGCGCTGTCGGAGCGCATCCAGCAGCTGGGCTGGGTGGGCGAGCGCCACCTCGACTGCGACCTGGACCGCAGCGACGCCGCCTGCCGCCAGCTGCTCTACAAGGCCATCAGCGGTATGTCGCACGCGAAATACATAGCGTTCCAGCACTTTCTATTATAGACCATTTTTGCGCGATCCGGCTCGAAGGACCATCGGTATTAACATCTGATTTTTGTGTTACATAATATGTATATAGAAGCCTTGTGTCAAAAAACTGCTTTAATTATTAACTAGCTGTCGAAAAATTCTTTTTGCGGGATTTAAAAAAACAACTTGATAAATAGTAGACAATATGATGACAAGTTCCAAATTTCAGGGAGATCCGTTTAAATAAGCATCCATCCATTTAATCTTTAGTTTAGTAAGATTGTTAATTTCTATATCATTTCGTGTTGTAACAACTTTAATGTAGCTTTTTAACTTTCTTCGTTTATTAATCTTCTGGCTGGAAGTTCTATTTTCATTTTTGACTAAAGATAATGTAATAGTGATGTAAGAAAGCGTTAGTAGTGAGGTGCGTGCGGTGTAAGTGAGGTATGTCCCAGAGCTGCTGGGCATGGACGGCAGCCTGTCGCCGGGCGGCAAGCTGTCGCGCGTGCGGCGCTGCTGCCGGCACGTGCTGGCGCTGTGCGGCGCGCCCGCCTCCGCCGACGAGCTGCTGCCCCGCCTCATATTCACCGTCAGTATCTACATATCTACATATCGCCTCACTATACTTTTAAACAATTTATTTAGTTTATACTATCATCATCATCTTTCTCCTTATTCCACTTCCGTAGTGGCGCAACAAGTTTTCGTCCCCCACATAATTCTATCATACGTCATCTGTCACTTCCTTCTTGACCATGTCACCTTTCACGTAATACATCCAATTATTGATACTATCGTGAAAACTTAAAAATTCAGAGATACGCTTCTCGCCAGGATCGCGCGCCATATCCGTCTAATGACATTGACAGCTGTCAGTTAGAGATGTGACGGATATGTCAATGATTTAGTGTTGCGCCGCTACTATGGCACGGTACCGATTTGCTTTTTAACAGTATACGACCTTCAACACCATCACCAGCTCATTATACGTCCCCACTATTATTAAATGTAGTAAGATATTGCTTGGTTTTGATAAAATATATATCTTAGACATTTTTTGACTTTCATTAGTCTTTGAAAAAAAAAAAACTTTTTTGTTCGACTTCAAACCTTACGTTTAGTTACTTCTAAACAGATTTTGAATCGAATGTATCACAGTTAAATTGTTACAAATATAAGAAACATATTTAAATTCTATTTTAGTCTATACTAGCTATCGCCCGCGACTCCGTTCGCGTGGAATTAAAAAAAAACAAAAGTGAGAAGCATATGTGTTCCTTCAGACTGACCTCTACATCTATACCAAATTTCATAGTAATTCGTTCAACCGTTTAGTCCACAAACTCCATCCATCTAAACTTTCGTATTTATAATATTAGTATGGTTTTTACATTATAAGTAATTGTTTATAGGTGCTGAAGGCGAACCCGCCGCGGCTGGTGAGCAATATTAACTTCGTGACGCGCTTCTGCAACGCGCAGCGCCTCATGACCGGCGAGGGCGGCTACTACTTCACCAACCTGGTGCGGGCATATATAATAAATTCTTTCTTACATCATTTTTATATACCTCTAACGGTTTATGCAGCGAAAGCCGAGAAAAGTTAAAGTTTAGTGATTTTTTAACGCCGCCGTCCAAAAACACACTGCTTATTAATAGTTCCTAAACATTAGTAATAATAAAATATACTCTATATTACTCATGAATAATTTACCTTTCTGATGGTGAAAGAATTTTAAAAATTGGCCCAGTAGTTTTTGAGTTATATTAATACAAAGATACAAATCTTTCCTCTTTATAATATTAGAACTAGCTGTTGCTCGCGACTTCCTACATGTGGAAATAAAAAATGTAACATAGGTTACTCACAGATAAATTGTCTTTGTAATGGTGAAAGAATTTTTGAAATCGGCCCAGTAGTTTTTGAGTTATAACAATACAAAGATACAAATATTTCCTCTTTATAATATTAGAACTAGCTGTTGCTCGCGACTTTGTCCACGTGTAATTTAAAAATATACCGATAATGTAGCTTTTTAATTTTTAAAGATTTTTTTAAAACGATCCAGTAGTTTTTGAGTTATTCAATATACAAAAATCGAAAAATACCAATTTTTCCTCTTTATAATATTAGTGTCGATTTACTGGGCTTATTTAAAAAATTCTTGCGCCTTTATCAGTGAGTAACATAGGCTTTATTTTTACCAATTTTTAAATTTTAAATGGACAAAGTCGCGAGCAACAGCTAGTTTTTAATGTTGTCTTAGCGACAGTGCTGCCCCCTTAACAAATTATCTTTCGATTAGATATACACTTTGTCTAGGTCTGAACTAAACAGCACAAAAGTCAGCAAATTTCGCTGTTTCACCCCCCCTTTAAAGTTACTAAAAAGGGGGGGGGGGATTTTTGGCAGTACTTAGGTGTTGAATAATCGTTTTTATGCAGTGCTGTGCGGTTTCCTTCATCGAGAACCTCACGGCGGAGTCTCTGAACATGGATAAGCAGGAGTTCGACTGCTACATGGCGATGCCCGCATCCATCGGCGGTAGTGCATGGGTAACTTAATAGAATACAGTTTTCACGTACAGATATAATTTAATCAACACTTTTATATAATAAAGCTACAAGTCCATCATAAGACCTTGTATTGTATGGATCTGAATGTTGGGCCACCAAAGTTGCGGATGAAAGGATTGCATGTGTCTGAGATGCGTATGTTAAGATGGATGTGTGTGACAAGAATGGATAAAGTTAAGAATGTGTATATTAGAGGAAGTTTGAAAGTAGCGCCAGTGGTAGAGAAATTGAGAAGCAAAAGGTTAGCGTGGTATGGATATGTTATGTGACGAAAAGATGGGGACATAAACCAGAAAGGGTTAAGATTGAATGTGGATGGCTACAAAGGAAGAGGAAGACCGAAGAAAGTATGGATGGATTGTGTGAAAGAGGATATGCTTAAGAAAGGAGTGGAAAGAGCAGCACATACTCTGCCGACCCTCCATAAGGGATAAGGGCAAGTGGATGATGATATAATAAAGCTGTTATCTATTAGTGTAGAATGTAACTTTAAGTAAGTAACTTGGTATTAATAGCTTTGGAATAGATAATAGAAGCCACTATCTCCAGAAACAGTTATAACTTATTTGGAATTTTCCCCCAATGATTTCGTTATTTTTTTTGCCATTTCTTTTATTTCTGTAGAAACAAAATCATCTTTCTCTTATCCTACTTCCGTAGGTGACCCTACGTTTCCTGGACATCGTGTTGCGCGTCGACGCATACATAACTCTATCACACGACATCACTCCCTTTTTGATCTATCCATCTCTTTCTACGTCTTCCTCTACCGGTGTACCTCCACACTCATAACTACAGAAATAAAATAAAATGTTAATCCAAAAATCTGCTTTTTAATACTATACGGTATTTTTAAAATTCTCAGTGATTATACAATACTAGCTGTTGCCGTGCGACTTCGTCCGCATGAAATTATGAATATTGTTTTATTGTTTACATTTGTCAAATTCAATTGCAAATATCAAGGTGACATGAGATGATGAAAAAGCATGGCAGCCTTGCTTCCTTGATGTTGGCAGCAACTTATGGTCCCCTTTAAGATTTTCCTCCAATTTATTTACCCACAAGTTTAATAGCGTGAAAATATATAGCCTAAAGCGTGACGCAAGTGTAGGGCTTTTTATTACAAAAAGAATTATTCAAAAATATGCTGTGATTGCTGACATCTTAAGCCACAAAGTGTGTGTTTACGCTTTATTACATTAGTATAGCTAACCTAGCAATAACCTGTACACTAACGTGTGGTGTGGCGCAGGCGGCGGCGCTGTCGCTGTGCGCGTGCGCGCGCGAGGCGGAGGAGCAGCTGGCGCACGCGGACCGCCTGCTGCAGCAGCTCGAACAGCTGGACGCGCAGTCTAAAGCGCTCGCTGATAATGCCGCGAACTTCGAGGTGAATTAACAAAAAAATATGAAAATACTAACTGTCGCCCGCGATTTTGCCCGCGTGGAAAAAAAAAACAAGTAGCCGATGTACATCCTATCTTCTACATCTATGCCAAATTTTATCGTTAACAGTTCAGTAGTAGAGGTTAAAAACAAAACTCTTACAAACATCCATCCATCCATCTCAACATTCCTATTTATAATATTAGTAAGATGTAAGTGCACAAAAAAAATTGTGGGTTAATAATGCAAAATCATGACACAATTTCTTAAAAGGTTGTTTATTTTAATTAAAATAAGATAGATATCCGCCATCTTGTATAACCTGTCAAAATGTAACTTAAAAATCGAATGACACTCAAGCAAAGAGGTTACATGCGTAAAAAGGTTTGATTTTGCCGCGCTATGTAATATAATTGTTTTATATGTAATTTTACAGGAGCAAATAGCAAAGAAAGTGCAAGATGTTCTAGCTAAAACACCATTGGAGATCAAACCGCGTCGCGAGTTGCCGAGGTTCGGTAAATTCAAGAACATCGCAGCGGCGCCACTTATTGACATCGACACACCGCACCAGTCAGAAACACCACACCAATCAAACACAGAAATACAGAAAGAACATGAAATCCCAGTCGTTGAAACTACAATAATAGAAGATAAACAAGAGATGCTCGACTTCCAAGTTCTAGAAAAACCATCACCATCAAAATCTCCCAACAATCTGGATGAGAAATGGGATCTAAAGCAGACCAACTCTATGGAACTCCTTACACCATCACCGCTCGGTTTCACACCCTTTGATTCCAGATCTATCGATGAACTGGTCACTCCAGAGGACTTAGCACCGGGACTAAGTAACATTAACTATGATATAGATTTATCAGACTTTAGTGGAGATAACAGCTTGGCTGAAGATCCACCGAAGTGTGAACATAAAGATCCATTCAGCCCGGACGGTATCAAGGAATTTGATCCATTCGCTCCTATACCTTCCCGTAGTGAACACAGCGCTGTACTAGAAACATTTGACGAGTTCTCTTTAGTTGATGCAAGGAATATGAGTTCTGAAGCATTTGAGGTAGTACACAGGGGACGGGATCCGTTCAGTCCGGTTCTGACTGAAGCGGATCCATTCAGTGCAAACCAACATGCTTCGTTATTAGACGATAAGGAGTCTCCTACAGCTGAATGTTTACTTCCATCGCCGTTGCAGCCTCAGACTAGTAAATCTACTTAAGTTTTTAAATTAACACTAATTAGCAGGATGGCCAGCTAGTGGACTGCCTCTCCCTCTACTTTAGGGTAGTTTTCGAACCCCTCATTGGGAATATAAAGTGAGCTGGTGATGATTGATGTTATAAAATATATGCTAAAGAAAACTAAATGTATTGCATGCAAATAGTTATAAGGATTTATGCAAATAATGGATTACCAATGATTACCCAATATTTATGGATATCCATGGTAATGGATATAAGCAATGTAAGAGATCCATTCAGAACTCACATAATATTGTAAATTTTGATTAGTGTATTGTATTTTAAAATTTAGAAAATATATTTTTAAAATTAGCTGTCGAATCTCAGAATCTGAAACTTCTAATGTAAAAAAAAAATCGTTTTCAACACAATTATTGTAGGTATGTTTAATTAGTTTTAATTTATTGAAATGATTTTGTTCATCACAAGTTATGTATAGCTATTTATAAATATATTTAGAATCTAAGCCATGTTATTTGTTAAATAAAGGAATCACAAGAATTTTTCGTTTTAATAATTAAAACTGATACATTAAAAAAAATTATTATAACTGTATGTCGAACAGGATTATCATAATATACAAAATTTCAATAAACTCCATTCACCACAGGTGCGGAGTTGTTAAAAACTAGGAGAATATGGTCTACAAATTAAGTAACATAAATAAAAGCAATATACATAAGATCTTCACACAATCACTAGCATATTAAAAACAAATTTATTCGATCAGCTGCGCTCAGGTTTGCCGATGACTTTAACTTTGACTTCTGCTTATATACCGTGAGGCTATCGGCAAAGCTGCACGCAAATAATTCCTAATTTACTGCCCTGAAGTATAGGACAGTTGCGACTGGCATGTATAGTTTTGGCCTATAAGTTACCATCTACAACATGCCAGCGCTGGTTCTGAATGCTTGTCTATCATATGAGGCATTATATAGAAGAATTCCACATATGTTTTGTGTCTAATATTTCAACATGGAATTCTACATTAAAATAGTTTTTCTTTAATTTCTATCAGCCTAATATTGTAAAAGTGCTGTTTAGCAAGTCACTGTGTTATGGCATGTTTTTGTTTTATTTTTAATATTGACTAAAATTACAAGCAGCTTAAGCTTTTAAATATTAAACTGCTGACCTAAAATGTTTTTGGATGTCCCTTAATTGTCAAACACACATTTATCATAATAAATTAGTTTGTCACTATAATTTAAAAGATGAAATTTTAAGACATTATTATTCTAAATTTTATCACCTAGGCTATATAAGCTAGGTCTTAGTAATTTAAAAGAATGATACATGAAAAATGCTGCATAATGTACCAATGTACTTATAATATAACAAGCACTATTTAATGAATTACTTACATATTAATTCAAATAAAACTAGACTAATATGCAGACAATGTTCAGAAATAATTCCTACTAGAACATGGTTTATAAAATGTATATAAAATATATTATTCTATTGAAATATGCTGATATCTTTGATATCTATTATTGTTTTTATGTATACAATATTTGTTACATTTATCTAACAGCCTTTTAGTTTAGTAAATACTGGCAGCTTTGCTTGATACATTATTTCATGACATTTTAGTCTACATATTAGTCAGATAATTGCATCATAAACAGATAACCTCTTATGTGTAGGTAAATAGCCTGGTATATACTAAAATCCTAACCAATACACATGCAATATACTAAATCACACATTCACAATTTAAATTTTGGTTTTTATATATACATTTCATATATTTTTGTGCAAAGATCCTTAATATAAGCAATTGGTATCACTAACACAGTCATAAATGGTATGAGACTTAATATTCTAACAGTAGGTTAACACTGCTGAAAGCCCATTCTAAACAACTGTTGTACAAGTCTTCCTTATAGAATAGGCTGGTGTCACCTGCCGATAACCTAAGCTAGGTCTATGGAGGCAATTATAATTAATATGGTCTTATTTAAATTGGTTTTCATATTTTTTTATATTATATGACTACAACAAGGTTGGCTTCCCCCTTGGAAATGCCTATGTACATTACATGCATCATTATTTATCACTTTCTAGTCTCTTGGTGGGGCTCACCACCTCAGCTAATAGATTGATGTAAATCAGCTCACATTGTTATGAATGATTGAGCTGCTGCTCAATAAATAACCATTTCAAAGCTGCCCGGTGAGTCACAACTCATGCAAATTATACCTCTGATCTGTGAATCGGTTCGTTAGTAGTGTTTCACCTGCACAAACTGAGCCGATCTGCAGCTCATCAAATTTAGCCGAGTTACCAATGCGTCAGGTAATAACTCTGTAAATACCAGCTCACTGAGCATCACCCATGGGAATAACTATTATATTATTTAAGTATATTTACATTAAATTTAAATACAATTTTGTTCTGTTTGGAATAATACAATCACAAGTTCTTGACAGGATCTGTGACATCCACAAGTTGCCAAGCCCGTCACCCAAGATCTCTTTAATTTTACAATGAACACACATTTATAGAAATAAAAAAACATTTTTGGCTCACTTTGATGTTGATTACATGTCAAAGTTGCTGATGACACTAAAATTGTTTGCATATTTTGTTAAAATAGATATTTATACATTTTATTTTAGATTAAGACGATCACTTTCACTAAAAATACACTATTCTTGAGGATCATTATTTAAATGCCCTTTTAATTTAGTCCATATGTACCATTACATGTACACGGAAGTTCGGATTAGGCAATCGATATAGTCACATTTATCCCGAGGTTTCCGTTGTCGGCAAACAACTGGGCTAAAGAAGTATCAAACACAAGGCAATCCGAGTTCATGATGGCGGAGGAGACACCCTCGTGGATGGAGCGTGGCATCGCCTCCCATGTGAGGCGCCGGCGGTGACCGTTTAACTCCAGTCTGTATGCAAAATTTTCTGCTTCTTTGCGGGAACCTATTAGTTGAACAATTGCAAAGAATTGCTGGTGTCCATCAAATTTCTCTTGCTTCTCAAGCACCAACATGAAATGATGATTGAAACATGACTGCATCATGACCCAGTCCACCGCCCCGGGTAGGTTTATGTCTGTAGCTAGAAACACAATGTCTTCACCTTGAAGTGTAGTGATGCTTTTGTGTGAAGTCATCAGGTGCTGCATCACTTGGTCCAGGCCGCCCTGCCACTTGCATGAGGCACCGGGACAAGGGCAAGAGTAAGGTCGAAATTCGCACGCCTCCTCGTGTTCTGCTTTCTCAGTGTGCACAAGTGTAACTGTACAACCCGTGTTGGAGTGTTTACATGGGAACATGACATTACTGGCGACCTTCTCCATTGCCAGGTTACGTATGTTGCCGAGCGGCCCGCGGCACGTCGGGCAGCACGACAACTTGGGACGGCAGCTGGAGCACACAAGGTGCCCGCTCTGACATTGTAAGATCGGTGGGAGGACATAGTCGAAACAGACGGGACACTCAAACAGCGAAGCGAGGTCGGCAGACATGGCCGTCGGTATATTCACCAGGGCGGGCACTCCAGGTACGAAACAACTAGCACCGTTAACTCCGCGCCTCTTGCTTGTGCTCATGACACCGTCATACACCGTGTAAAAGACCCGTTAATCGTCGGAGAAGCTCTTTTTAATTTTTTTTAGCACAAAGTGATCTAGGCAGCTACCTCGATCATTTGTATCCCTCGACGACAGAATCCTTTCCACTTGCATAGAAGTTGAAGTACGATTCCATTACAAATCGACTGTCGATGTTTTATTTTCAATTGTCAATCCGATACGTCAGATCTGAACAAATAGAAGTATTCTAGTTTAAAGATATATTTGATTTGTCGTGATGACTTTGAATTTGGATAACACTATGATTTGAATTATATTACTGCGATTGTTCTGATTTATCACAAAAGGTTGAAATTTGTAGTACCATTCCGTGAACTGCAAACTGCGACCAATCGAAACTGAAATTCTATCAAAATTGTGACAGACTGACAGCGACAGATATCGAACTATGATGTCATAGGAAGAGTATAGATTATAACTGAACATTAATAAGACTAAAAAAATATTTGTTTTAGACCTCTATAGATAGATAATAGTTAACAATTTATATCTATTTCAAAAAAGTTCTTCCTGCATTTTACTTATTGATTTTTCTATTTATAGGTCCTCAAACTTATTCTAAGGAAGGCTGGCTTAGTAATTGGCGCTGTGATCGCAGTTTTATATCCTTTTTGGTTTGCGGTCAATTCTGCCAGAATCCATAAATGATAATTGATTATACAAGGCAAAATAATACGATCCACTGATGCTTTACTACATTACATTAACTTGGAAATAACAAAAATACATTTGCTCGGCCAGAATTTTGTTTATCTACAAATACACATTCACGTTTTACCTATTATCTGACCAATTAAATTGATCAAATTACCCACAGTATCCATGGTAGCGACGCGATTCCTTTTTTTAAGGGATCTCTACATTTGTAATCGTAGTTCTTAATGATTTTCCAAAAAAATAAGCACTGAGTAAGATTATATTTTATGTATCATATATACGGATCCTTGATAATCTAAATTTTTGGGCTCACATATCTTTGGAAAGTGTATTCGTTTTTTCCAGGCGTTCATTTGATAAAAGGTCATCCTAGAATAATTTATACCAATTAGATGACTGATTGCAGAAGATATCGTGCTATTTGAAAAATTGACACGGCTTTTCCCAATATTTAGTTTTACATTTTAGTCATAATTACCATTGGTTATAATAACGACGTCATTCAAGACTTCCCTTAATATGTTATTTAAGCAACAACATATTTAATTCAACATTTATTTATTGAAATATTTCGTAACAGTCAAGTATCTATAACTCTTACTATATCATCGTACAAAGACATTTCACATCTTTATCTTGTTTTAGATAAACATGTTTGTTCCTCCCGATACAGTTGATTGTGTGTCGAGTGATGTTATACCGAAACTATTAGGCCAGTGCTTCTCAACCTTTTTTCGCAAACCCCTTATCTATACTAGTATTACAAAGAGGATAACTTTGATTGAATTATATAGGCTCAAGAACTACTGGGCCGATTTTAAAAATCCTTTCACCGTTAGAAAGTTAAATTATTTGTGAGGAACATAGGCTATATTATTTTAATTTCTTTATTGTTATTTTTAAATTTATTTAAATATTTATTTCAAGAACCATATACCATCGGGTCAGATAACGAATAAAGAGTCATGAAATTATCGCCATTGCTGTTAAGTGGTCGACGATAAAAAACTGTTGCTGAAATTCTAGACTCGTAATAACTGTAGGTCGCAACCTACGGGTTGAGAAGCACTGTTAGATATTTGTCTTATTTAAAATTATGACTCAATGACGAATACTTTCATTGTAATATTAGTTTTGAGGTGTAGGGGAGATTAAGTTGTGAAATATCTTAAAACATTAGCTCTTCAAATGTTATGAAAAAGATTAAATCAATTAGGGCATGAAATTACAATAATAAAGAATGGGAGAATAGCACAGTTAATTATTTATGCAGCATCCTGTTACAATTAATGACAATTATCAATGACAGTTGCCCGTTTGCCTTCTACAAAAAAAACATGATTTTGTTTTTAAATCTAAGGTGCACTTAAGTACCAAATACAGTTGTGCCAAAATGTTTTTCGTTGGATTTATATCGTTAATTGTGACGTGCTAAAAGTAAAAAATCGTGGGAATATTACATTTAATGTGGTACTTCTTTAAAGACGGATAATTCTTTGAATACCAGTGACTTGTTTAATTATTGTTCATTAAAATAATAATCCACGTTTAACAATTAGGCAAATTGAAATTCTAGAGAGTACTGGATAATAGAGAACTGAAAGCCGATGGCGTTATAGTTGGACAAAACGTTTAATATAAATGTTTTGTAACTAACTTCACTTAAAAACAAATAAAGAAAGTAATCTTTTTTTAACACTATCTATTCTACTAGTTTTGCGACTCCTTTGGTACGGTTGTCAGTAATATAAACATTTTATTGCCAAATTCTTGATTATTAAATAAGAATAAGAAAAAAAAAAACATTATCAAGGTCTTGCGTTTCTCATTCCAATGATTCTTCTGCCTTTGTTTATTTAGTTTTGTTTTATTTTATTTTATATTTAATGCTGTCCATCTATAAAAACAAACAAAGGCGGCTTAGAAAAGACATGTTTATTACAAACACGCAGAGACATGAGAATAAACGCACGAGAATAAGTGAAGGGTAGAATTTTATAAAATTTACTTCCCAAAATTTTGAATAAATGTTTCCGTTAATGTCTCTAGAAGATAAACCATCATTCTGAAGCGACATGTTTTGTTTGCACTTGGCTTTACATGTAACCTCCGTGGTGTGCAGAAAAAAAGTAAATCGGTGTCTGCAGTCTGTAGCAGGGAAGCGTCGTCGACAAACGCGCGCGCGGCAACTCTGTTGGCGGGAAATTTGACAAATGTCATATCGTAATAAGTGATAAAATTATTGGTGATCTGATAAGTGTATTTCAGTGTTCTTTCGCAAGTTTACTATTGTGAAAACTTACATGATAACTGTTAAAGTGCTGTGTTCAATTTTTTAGAGTTTTTTTTTCACACGCAAAAATATAGGTGAGTAAAGTTTTTAAATTATTTACGAAAGTGTTAATTTAAATTTTAATAGGTTATATTATTTTATTTGTAAGCAGTGTTATTATAAAAATACATTACTCTTCGAAAGTTTAAAAAATAACGATAATTTGCAATTAATTCTTAGTAAAAGAATTCAGTTAACTAGTACACATTTTAGTAATTCTTTTACAAATGTAATAAAATAATACATTTTGCGTTGTATCGGTTTAACGTCGAATTCGAAGTAAAGGACTGATGCGTAAAAGCCACGTTATCTAACCGCTGGGCATAATAATGCTTCGGTGTGTTTATCTGTATTAATATTCCATGTAAATATATATAAAATAAAAAAAATACTAACATTTTCGTCAAACTATGATTTACAAGTCGATTAGTGTTATTTTTTGGCATTAATGACTTTTTTACAAAAGGTTTTCTATGTGTGTGTACAAATGTTTTATTTAAAGTCGGTAATTATGAAGTACGGATACTACTTGAATAGTAAACCTTATTATCTAGTATCTAGCTACCTTTAGTCCTACCTCGCGGATTAAAAAAAAGTAGTCTATGTCCTATGTGTTCTTCCAGACTAACAAGGCAAACAGTGAAATCCGTTGAACTGTTCTGGAGACATGTACTAACATCCATCCATTTAAACTTTTGCATTAGTAATATTGGTGAAAACATTGATAGATAAGAAAATTTAAATAAATATTTTTAAAGGGAATTAAGATTTTTTGTTGTTAAAAATCTTTTGGCATTCTCCGAAAGACCTTTGTCGCTTAGCTTAAAAAAAGTCGTTAATGTTTTTAGACGATCTTACTTTTTATTGTATCAACGATTTAAGTATAATTTTGTATAATAAAGTTGATACTATCATTCATTGTTTTGATGACAGTAAAAAATATAATCTGTATTGACGTCAACACTTAAGTTTTTTTGAATTTTTTTTATCCAGGGGTGGCAAACTTTTAGGTATCAACGACTTTTCTAAAGAAATGTCTGTTGAATTTATAGCTTGCATCAAATTATTTTTACTTTCTGTTTATTAGGAATATTACATAACGAATCACTAGCGTTCTCTATTCATATGTATTTCAATTTTTTTTTCTAGTACACAATTGATTTTTTGATTAGTTACGTGCCTAAAATATATGTTGCGAGTCATGTAGCCATCACAGCTATATTGCCTAATTGTCGATCAATAAATGCTTTTTAGATAAATATTATACCTTTTATATATTTACTCAACTAGCTTTCGCTCGCGACTCCGTCCGCGTGGTAACAAAAAAACAAAAACAAGTAGCCTATGTGTTCTTCCAGACTATCCTCTACATCTATACCAAATTTCTTTGAGATCCGTTGAGTAGTTTTGGCTACAAACTCTAACAAACATCCATCCATCTAAACTTTCACGTCTATAATATTACTAGCATTCGCCCGCGACTCCATCCGCTTGGTATTAAAAAAAAAAAACAAAATCAAGTACCCTATGTGTTCTTTCAGACTATCCTCTACATCTATACCAAATTTCATCGACACCCGTTCAGTCGTTTAGGCGCCAAACTCTAACAAACATCCATCCATCTAAACTTTCACATTTATAATATTAAAGAATGATTACTGTCTATGTCTGCTGTATTTCTTTCCAATATTCGTTATTAAAGAACAACTAATACACTTATAAGTGCTACATGAGTGGTACATGCTTACGTATGAAGTATCTTTCTGACGTACGATTATTTATATGTTTGGTAAAAACTTGTTTGTACGCTCATTTAACACCGGATCTTAATTTTAAGTTGATTATGCTAAAAATACAGGAAAGGAATTCATGTTGATTGAACGTAATATTAGTCCTAAATAAACTATACGTTGATAAAAGGCAAAGTAACACGTTCGTACTTACTAAGTAATACTTCTGTCTAATGAAATAAAGAAAGAAAGAAATAAATTTATTCAAAAAAAGAAAAGAAATTCGTTCAGCAGGCGCTGTGGTGTATACCGAAGCGACGGTTTTCAATGAACACGAACAGAAGAGAAGAAAAAAAAAACTTGTTTTTAACATTACACTCGGTCACCGAAAACGTAATCTAAGTCTAAGGAGAAATTTAAAAAAAAGACAAAAAAAACATAAATAAAACACTCTGATCTTATTGAGTATACTTAAATTATTTTAAAACTTACACTACTTATGTTTATTAAATAAATACTTAACTATTACCAACTGTAATTAGGTAACCCTTTCAAAAAAGAAACCCTGGGATTTATATTTTCCTTTCGTGGCAGTCTTTGCTTTCAGTTCCGTCTACGAGATCGTTTGTATGTCACAGCTCAATAGTGAACTTCTTCTATTTCTAATCTGCCGAGACTGAAAAATACTTATCAAATAGCACATTATATGAGGTTTTTGATTAATATTTCGATTATATGTACAGTTAATAATTGAAGATTTTATTGACGCGCTACCTTGTATAGAAGCCGAATTCCCATCAGTGTTTCGCAGATGGAATAACAAGTCATTAGATGTTTTGAAAACAATTGGCACTTATGAGAAAATTTTAATCTCAAAACATTATTCGTCTCGTTGGTTTTTTGGAGTTTTTTCACTGTATTATTCGTTTATGTTTGTACTTTAATTGACAGAATATTTCTAGAACAATTTGATAACTTGAAGAGAATGCAGTCAGACTTATATAGAATTAAGTTAACAAATAGTGTGCTGTATCGAAATATCTGTCTATATTGTATCAAACTTTTATTATGTTTACAGAATAACAATTTTACCTTTTTCGGAGATTTACCATGGTCAATGATCTTTTTCCTAAACAGTTAAAAAATCTAGTCCTACGACCAAATCAGAGATCTCACAGAATGTTCGAACAGTAATAGAGAGTCGAAACATCTTAACATCAACATATTGTGGTCTCTGTTCATTAGTTACATTGTGATAGAGAGAGGAGTTTCATCAGGAAACTCAGTTAAATCACGGTTCGTTTTCAACTGTTATCTACTTTGATATAAAGACGTCATTAAAATTGTATGACGTGGCGCCGACTCTCGGCCAATACAATAATCTTTATCACGGTTTTATTGACTTTATACTACGCCTAGTGGTTTTGGTACTTAATGTTTTTGATTTTTAGTTCGAAATAAAGCTGGGCAATTTGGTCATAAGATTATAAGATAAGTTTTTCTGCTCTGCAGATATTAACACTGTGGTTACTTTGAGGATTAAAAAGTGCTCTGTAAATAAAGATAATTTTTATTCGCTACTAATCCAAGCTAGATTATATTAATAAACATTATGTAAAGTCAAATACAAGAATTAATAAAACAGACTTTCTCGAACTCTTGTAGGCAACTCGTGTGGCACTCGTGTCCACCTGAACCACTTTAGGAATCAAGCATTTCATTAGTTTTTCTATAATATATTCTGGTTAACGTATAAAAAAGGGTTATTCAGTATCTTTAAAATTCATACCACGTTTGACACTTGTGTGTGTATCATGTCGAGTTACACCACTGGTGTTAGGCAACATCAAAGGCGTTTATAATTGTTACTGTAATGTGTAAAGCCCTTTGTATGTGTGCTTTGCATACTAAATACCTTTCGAAGGTCTAGAAGTTCTAATCTTATGTTGATATACATAAGGCAAATTGGATTGAAAAACTGAACATTACAATGTAGTTATAACTTATTTAGTTTTAGCCTATAAGTTATTTCAGATTATGTTCTACTTCTAAGCAAAATTTTATCGACATTCGTTAAGTCGTTTTAGATATAACTACGTAGTAAAAAATACCCATCCAAATTTTCGAATTTATAATATCGATTTGAAAGTATGATTTAATTGTAATTAAGGTTCGATTATTACTGATTTAACTTTTTAAAACACTTGAGTAAAGCCTAATTACCTCTAACTTAGGCTATTTTTATAAATCGTTTCAATAACATTCTTTAAAATGCTATTTTAGCTCTAAAAGCTTTAATAGGAATTCAAGTATAGGTCGGAAATAACTTTTAATAGAGAAAATAAATATTTACATTAGAGTCAATGTTATTTTGTCGTACCGCATTAATTGCATTATAATTGACTTTATATAACTCGATCTTCATTACGTTCACAAAAACTTGTCGTGGACCATTGTTCAGAATGCTTATGTTCATAATCGCTTTTAAGCATTTTTTTAAATAACCGTGAAATTCGTCTACGTGACAATTGAATATCATTGCCTCTATTTTCAAAGATAATTAGAAGGGCGATATATTTTTGTACAAGTGTTAAAGTAACCGTGGAAGCCGATCTTAAGCTTATTATTTTGATATTCATGGTGTCTTGTTTAATATATTTTCAGGAAATTCCAAGGACATCCAAATGTTTTGTTTTTGATATAAAATAGTTGATATTTTAGCGTTAATATGAAACTAGCACCCGAAGTGCCTTACCTTGATTCGCTGACATTGTAAGTTCAGTTCCAGCCGGTCTCCTGGGGTTCAAGACCGTGCGATTTGTTGTTAACCTTTTAATTACATATTAACTTAGTACTATGTTAAAAAAATGCATTTTTAAAGTTAACTTATAATACTCTTTAGAGCCAATATTAGTATAAGTTGTGTTTTAAATCTGATTATCGAATTATATTAGTTTTGTAACAAGAAATCGATATTGGACACTTTATTGATATAATATTAAATTTCACATTAGTATTTTAAATTAAAATTAAATTAGAGTATATTTTTTTTGGTGTCACGGGGAAATCTTCTGGGGGCAAGGCACGGATTTAACCTACTAAAACCCCCTCGGTGGTCATCCTCTAGTGACATAGACGTAGGTTCCAGGATCTCCAAGGAACACACCAGAACAAATTAAAGTATACTGGTTAAACAAGAAATTACACTAAGGGTTCTTTAAGTACCCTTAAAATGACTCTTAGAATGACAGTTAAATAATCAAGTTAGCAGTAAGTAGAGCAATGAATAACTTCTCGTCTCAAGA